CATCAACCACAATAACAAAACAAAAGATTAATTTGCAAACAAATTAAATTATTTTGATACACAAATTGGAATTGTTAATCACACACACACACACACATTCAAACCTACACAAAGATTGCTAAATTGATAAATTGTTAAAATAAATGCTTCCATTTCATCGAAAGGTTTCTAATTATTTCTTCCAGATTTCCTTTGTACTAACAACCCTAAATAATCTTCCCCAACACCTCCTCCCCTTCCTCTCTAGCCTTATCATAACTACAATCATATATTTAAATATATCACTAAGTAAATAATTGCATTAATGTAGCACTGCCTCTAATGATTGAGTGACCAAGAGTGTGTGTGTTTGTGTCGGCATATGTGTGTTTGTGTCCGTGTGTGTGCGTGAGCGTGAGAGCTCTCGTGTGTTTGTTCAAATGTGTCAATAGAACCCAAACATAAATATCATATTTATATCTACATTTATGGTCAGTCTGTCCATGTGACTGACAGTCCGATAATTTTGTGTGTGTTCAAATAGATAGAAGACACTGCGTAAATATGTATTTAAAATAAATATTGAAATAAACAAGAACAACAACAAGTTGTTGTTGTTGTACTACTTGTCTTTGGTAAATATAAAACCGTAAGAATAAATAAACGCACGAATGAACTCGAAGGGTATGGGTGATTGCACAGAAAAAATTATTTCTAAAAAAATTGGCGACTATTTTGGCCCCTTGAAAAAAATAATATTAAGGAATGCACGCCAAAGGAGGAAAACAATTTTTTAAAAAATCCACGCCTTTGGTAAGGCCACAAGTAGATTCACAAGTAAAACCAGTAAGGAAAGTAGTAAAGTCGACCGGGCCGACTATATGATACTCTTCACCACTTTGGGTATATTCAACAGATGAATCCTAACAGACGTCGCATTTTTAAAGGACCAGTAAAATGAAATTTAATTGCAAACCGAAAGATATTAAGGGACTTTGGTACAACATTTACCTTAAATCGGAAGAAAATATATATGGGAGCTATATATTAATCTGAACCGATTTTCACGAAACTTGGTAGACATCACTATAGGGTCAATTCCGTACGCTGTGTCAAATATCGTGCAAATCGATAGATATATAGGGATTTTGGTGCACAATTTACCAAAAATCAGACGAAAGTATATATGGGAGATATATCTAAATCAGAACCGATTTTCATGCAACTTTGCACACATCATTCTAGGCTTAATTCATTACGCTGTGCCAAATTTCGAGCAATATATATAGGGACTTTGGTGCACCATTTACATAAAATCGGACGAAACTATATATGGGAGCTATATCTAAATCTCGACCGATTTTTACGAAATTTTGCGCACATCATTCTAGGCTTAATTTAGTACGCTGTGCCAAATTTCGTGAAAATCGAGAGATGTATAGGGACTTTGGTGCACTATTTACCTAAAATCAGACGAAAATATATGTGGGAGCTATATCTAAATCTGGACCGATTTTCACGAAACTGGGCAGGCATCACTATAGGCTCAATTCCGTACGCTGAGCCAAATTTCGTGCAAATCGGATGATATATATGGGACATTGATGCACCATTAACATAAAATCGGATGAAAATATGAATTGGAGCTATATCAAAATCTGGACCGATTTTTACGAAATTTGGCATACGTTACTCTATGCTCAATTCAGTACGTTAAGCAAAATTGCGTGCAAATCGGATGATATATAGGAACTTTGGTGCACCACTTACATTAAATCGGACGAAAATATATATGGGAGCTATATCTAAATCTGGGCCGATTTTCACGAAACTGGGCAGACATCACTAGGCTCAATTCCGTACGCTGTGCCAAATTTCGTGCAAATCGAAATATATATAGGGACATCGATGCACCATTAACATAAAATCGGACGAAAATATATATTGGAGCTATATCAAAATCTGGACCGATTTTTACGAAATTTGACATACGTTACTCTATGCTCAATTCAGTACGTTATGCCAAATTGCGTGCAAATCGGATGATATATAGGGACTTTGGTGCACCATTTACATTAAATTGGATGAAAATAAATATGGGAGCTATATCTAAATCTGAACTGATTTTTTCCCAATTTCAATAGGGTTCGTCCTTGGGCCAAATAAGTGACCTATGCCAAATTTCATCCAATTCGGATTATAAATGCGACCTGTACTTTGATTATAATTTAACATGGACAGACGGACGGACATGCATAAATCGGCTTAGAAAGTGATTTTATGCATATTTTCAGAAGGAACGATGTGTCTATCTCGTTTCCTTTTGCCTGTTACAAACATATGCACAAAGCCATAATAATGGTAAAGGGTATAAAAATGTTTTAATAAAAAAATCCATGTAGTACCCCATATATAATTTACTTATTTACCCCACACAATGTCCATGTTCATGTCATTATCGATAAATTGATTACAAGAATAATTATGACTCTTTGAAAAACGGCTTCCTTATATTTGAATATTTAGTTTTTGTTAAGCCTTAATGGACAACAATTTAGGTCGCCTTAGCTGTCACTAGAAATCTCATGATAATTATCGGAATCATCATCGTCATCATCATGATGATTATTACCTTCATTTACAAATCTGAAAAGACAGCAGGGAATATTTCTACGTAGCGCCAGCTGCTTCTGCTGATTTTCCAAATGCCAAACGTCGATGTCCCCCCCTCCAAGTGTCGTTGTCACCATTGATGATTTCGTTGATGGACAGCAACAATTGTCACAAGTGACAATAATTATTCGAACATTGGAACACTTAAGTAAATGAATGGGGGACAATTGGACGGACAGATCGATGAACAGACTTTGAATCGATAAGTAATGGGCGGCTATAGGCAATCAATGGTTATTCAATTCTGATTCTAATTGGAAACAGATATTGAAATTTTTTTTTTTTTGTTTTTTCTTTAAGAGAGGACATAGTTATTGAGTTTTATTATAATAGTTAGATGGGTGATCTATTTGTAAATTATTTTGAAATTTTTTAATATCAAGATTTCAAAACCTAACTATTTATTTTTTTAATTTTAAAAATCCTCTATGAAAATTCCACACCATCCAACTGAAACTCTTATTTTATATGGACAAATTCTTTGATTTTTTTTAATATTTAAATTTTCCATTAATTCCTTTAATTATCCCTTTTGGAATTCCTTTTCCATATATAATCCCTTTGACACAATTCACCTAACCATCTAACCTATTTCCCTCTATCGCAAGCCTTACTCAAACAAATAAAACCATCTTATTAGAGGCAAAGCATGTTCATGCAAAAAAATACTACGAAAGCCTTGTGCAAACAACAACAACAACAAACATTGGCCAAACGACATGACCTATACGCTGTTGGTTGACACTGAGGAATGAAATCTAATCTGCTCTAAACCTCTAATGATGACAGTTTATAATAACAAACTCAAATATTCATAATGTAATTACCCTTTGTTGCCTTTCCCACCAAAAAAAGAACGAAACATGTACTTGCACGCACGCACTCACACAAACACACACACTCACGTAGAAAGACAGTAACAAGGACCGATAAGAGATGGAAATGAACCAACAGTTATAATATTGCCAAGCAACAAGGCAACAGGCTGTTAGTGTTTACAACACAGACAATATAAACTGTGTGATACCCAGTAGAGTTAGTGAAGAGATAGAGAGAGAGAGGCAGAGAGTGAGAGTGTATGCAAACTACCGTAGTCATTTCACTAAATAACAAAACAAACAAATTTCCCCGTTATTAGTGTTTGAGTAAAGGAAATTGTTTTGTTTCACCAGAGAGAAGAGTAGAGAGCGAGAGAAGTGATGCGAGCGAGATAGTGTGAATGGCAGAGAGTAACGGCTGTTCGAAAAATGAAAATGAAACATTGAGTTGTGTTTATTGTTCCCCCACTATACAATGGAGCAAGCAAAACACACAGTGTTTGTGGGTGCCATACACATATACACACACACTCACTCACCGTTTCACACACAGCCAGCCAGCCGGGTTAAGAACTATAACAGAAGCCACTTTTAAAGGGAAAATAATCAAAGATGAACATGTTTCGTATTCAGTATGAAACGAAACTTTAACGGATGCGGACGGTCTGGAAACGGATGTTTTGAAAGGTCTCTACAAAAGCGAAATAAAAATAAATAAATGAATACAAGGAAATAAATTGTAATTGAAAAATAAATTTCAAACGAAAACGAAAAAATAATTATTTCACAAAATAAAAAATAATTGGAAACGAAAAAAAGCCCGACGAAATTAAATAAAAATAACAAATTAAAAAAAATATATCGAAAAAAATTAAAATAAAAAATCTTTTAACATAAAATAATTTCTTGCTTAATCTTGAATGAAAATTTGTAAACCAATTACATCTTAACGACAACAACAAAATCAGCAAATTTATTGCAAACAAATCACCTTTTGGAGGTGATAAGGTGAACGAAAATCAAGCCGAAAAAATCGGGATAACAAAAATAAACAAATGTTAATGGCTGTCATTAGCCAGTGACAGGGAGTGCGTAAAGAGAAAAAACCGGCAACACGTAGAAAAGCAACAAAATAAAAAAAATACGTGAAACAAGTGACATTTAAATTTTAAATCACTCGAGCAAAGATAAAACAAAGGGAAAATGTAAAGGAGGGGAACAAATCAAGGAGGAGATGTAAAAAAATCTGACTTAAAACACAACACAAGAGAGAAAAAGAAAAAAAAATAGAAAAATTCAACAATAAAAAATAGAAGACAAATCTAAAATCTATCAAATAATAATAAAAAATTTTCGCGAAATACAAATTTTAAAGAAATTCACAAAACAGTTCCCAAAAATAAAATTTCTACAAAATTTCAATTTAATTTTTATTTTTCGTAAAAAACTCACCTTGCCATGAAAAAACCTCCCGCCCACAACATGTATAGCCTCATAATTTTCCTCATTTCCCTGCTGCCTTGCTGGGTAATGCCGGCTCCATCTACCGCACTGGATGCTGGCAGCTATTTTACCTCAAATGGTTATGTATCGAGTCCCTCGATTTATTCGTATACCATTGAAAATCAATTACCGCAAATCAATCAAACACAACGTGAAGTGCCATCATATTATCAAGCGGCAAACGGAAATAATAATCGGAACTTATATTATACATCAGAATCCTCTTCAAATAATAATCGGGATACTAATTCACAATCTACACCGCTATTGGGTTCAGCACCCACTCAGCCGGCACCAATAAGCGATTGCACTGTCGACCGTTTGGCGGTCTATAAAGTCGTCTTACACACCTATTGGACTAGGGAATTGTTTCCCAAACATTATCCAGATTGGCGGCCCACAGCACAATGGACTAAGACAATAGGTAAGTGGATGGAGGAAATTATTTTTCTTTATTTATAAGGGTTGGAAAATTGAAAATTTTGGGAGATGAAAATTTTAAACTAAAATCGTCAAAGATGAATTTTGAAAGTTCTGAAAAAAATTAAAACGTAAAAAAACACAGCAAAACCGAAGAGATTAACAATATTGGACTTATTGGACTTAGAACTATCATAGCCACAGAGAAGATAGTTTTCAAAGGGCCCAAACCTATGATTTCCCAAGAATATTTTTTTAACGACCAGGGCCTGAGCTTTTATTGCAATTTTTCAAAGAACCAAAGACGTACCCCTTTGAATAAGAATCAAAGTTTCGGATTTGTTACAAATATTTTTGAAATAAACCAAAGCCTTAAATTTCTTTGGAATTTTTTTTTCAAACGACAAAAAGGTGGTTGTTTTACAAAATAATTTTTAGGTCTTAAACTAACTAAGGGATACTTAAAAATAATATTAAACCAGTAAGGAAACTAGTAAAGTCGGACTGGACCGACCATATGATACCCTTCACCACTTTGGGTATATTGTACATACGTATCCTTACAATTATACAATGTTCCCTCGAAAGATATTTAGGAATTTTGGCGCACCATTCACATTAAATCGGACGAAAATATATATTGGAGCAATATCTAAATCTGAACCGATTTTCACAAATTTTAGCAGATATAATTCTAGGCTCAATTCAGTATGCTGAGCCAAATTTCGTGCAAATTGAGTGGTATATAGGGACATTGGTACACCATTTACCTTAAAACGGACGAAAATGTATATGGGAGCTATATCTAAATCTGAACTGATTTTCACCAAACTTACCAGACAGGCTTAATTCAGTACGCTATGACAAATTTCGTGCAAATCGAAAGATATTTAGGGACTTTGGTGCACCATTTATCTTAAATCGGACGATAACATATATGGGAGCTGTATCTAAATCTGAGCCGATTTTCACGAAACTTAGCAGACATTTTTTCAGGCTTAATTCAGTAGGCTGTACCAAATTTCGTGCAAATCAAGAGATATATAGGGACTTTGGTGCACCATTTACCTTAAATCGGACGAAAATATATATGGGAACTGTATATAAATCTGAACCGATTTTCCTATAGATTGACTCGAAAAACACAAAAAATTAAGTTTTTGGCCCACTGTATCCAAAAAATTTTTATCAGATCATTGCCCAATATTATTGGCGTTGTCCTTGACCATAACTTGAACCTCTTGGGAAATGTCAAACCCATCAGTGCTATATTCCGTCCTCTAGTGTGTTAATGGCTTACTAAATAATATCTGAAGACGTAAGCACCTGTAAATATTGAAGTGCAACTCCCACATCCGAGTAGATACATCACTATAATTGGTATCAATTTAAAGGTCAACTACTCCTCTTGGATAAACCACCAACTTCTCGAGTCTATATCCTTCAGGAGTAAATATATACGCCATAGAATACAAATTTTGTGATTTTTCACACAAAAGTCAGGGTCCATTTGACCCGCTAAATATTGACCGATCTTTACCAAAACAGGCATGTTTATTCTTTGGTCCGATCCCCTTCTCCATGTAAAAATTCCCAATGTTTGGACCATAATTGCAGCATCTAGAGCGACCAGAAAAACCGACAAAAATTAAGTATTTGGTCAATTTCATCCCCTAAATATTAACCGATCTTTACCAAAAAAAGGCCTTCATTGGCCAAAACCGGTCCTACATGCAAAATTTTGTGAAGATTAGTCCATAACTGTGGCCTGTATCGTGTTTACAAATTAAAATGGACAGATCGACTCAGATAGTCGAGATATGACGATCGGTATACTTAAAGGTGGGTCTAGGACCAATATTTCGCGACGTTACAAACTCGTGGGGCGGCACAAAGCTATAATACCCTGACAACGATTTTTCGAAATTTCAATAGGGTTCGCCCTTGGGCCAAATAAATGAGATGTGCCAAATTTCTTTAACTTCGAATCATAAATGCGACCTGTACTTTCTTTACAATTTAACGTGGACAGACAGACAGACAGACGGACATGCATAAATCGACTCAGAAGTTGATTCTATGCATATTCTCAAAAGGAACCATGTGTCTATCTTAAAATAGTTTTTAAAATATATTTTTTAATGACCCAGTTTAGGGCTATGAATAACTATTGAGAAATCGGATCATGTAATAGTCCTTAAAATTTTAAATTCCTTGATTTTTTTTAGATATATTTTGTATTCCCTATTTTCCAAATTTTAGTTTTCCCTTCTTCAAAAAATATTTCTACTCTCTTACATCAAAAATTAAATTCCAATTATTATTTCTTCTATTTGTGTGTTGGCATTCAAGATGTTCTTAGAACATATTTTATTCTCCGTTTTTTTTTCTTCAACAAAAATTTAATTCTTTAGTAAATAAAGGATTATGACCTTTTTTCTTCTATTTTTTTTTAATATTTTTTTGTTGCTGGTGTTCCATTGGCATTATTTTCTTGATATTCTTTACAAAGTTGTGAAGCATTTATGGCAACAGACTTTTTTATTCAGTCATTCTTTTATTCATTTCCACACATATTTAGTTATTCATTTTTGTTACATTCAAGCAGTTAAATAAATATGTATTTATATTAATATGGTATGGTGTGGGGTTATTAGTGAGCAGAGACGGAGAAAGGTAGGGGGGTTCTTTGGTAGAATAAAAATTTTGAATTAAAAAAGTTAATGAATGTTTCTTCTCCTTAAAAATTGGCTTTTAATGATCGATGTTGTTTACGACTTAGGAATATATTTTCTTAAACAAAAAAATTAAATATTTACCTCATCAACTCTTTTAAAAAATTTTTTATCTTAACTGAAGGGGTCTGCTTGTATTTTTTGTTTAATTATCACTGCTGTCTGTCTACTTTAATATTTTTTTTATTTTTTTTAATTTTAATTTTTAGAAAAATCCTACATAATCGACTCTTATGTCTCCTTTGAAGACAAATGTTGAACTTTGACAAATTTGAATTTATTTCGCATATGCAAGTTTCGCATCAGGGCGGAATAAATACAAGTTATCAACGTACGACCTTTGTAAAGCCACATAGCCCAATATGCCTGATGAGCCGCTTAACCAACGGCGAAACGCGCCGCATAATGGTGGGTACGTAGGTTCTTCTCCTGGCTTTCCTTTTCATTGCAAAACTTAGATCATCAAGCTCGACTCGAGGATATTTATTGAAAGTTATATAAAAAAGTATTTTTAACAAATTTCAAGTCTCAGTGTGGGTTTTTTTTTAAATATTTTTAGGCCTCAGCCCACAATGTGGATTTTCTGAAGATGGATTTTCTTTTCAAAAAAAATTTTTTATTTATAAAAATAGATTCTTTATAAAAATATTTTTTAGCATCAAAAATCTAAAAATCTGAAAATAATGAAGAAAAAAAATGTTTTTTTTTATAAAATCTACGCTCTTGGCTATTTTTGTAATTTTTTTCTAGACATTTTTTATCCTTTAGTTTTCCCCTCCCATAGTATCAATTTGGCCACGCCATTGATATCGTATTTTTTATGTATGTATATTTATATGTATGTTTGTTGCCATTCAAGTAATTCTTCTTTCAAGAAAACCATTCATTCAGCCAACCATCCAGCCAGCCCTTCAAAACCCGCCATATGTTTGCAGGGCAACAATGTTTAGGCCTCTTGCAAGGGTTTCCTAACCTAACTAAAGAAGGGAATGCTTTAAAGATTATTTTTATTTTATAACCGGATGTTGTGTGTAACAGCATTCCCATATATACCCTTGCACTTACAATTCACACACATACATACATAGCTACACATACTTAGACATACACAATAATAAAAAAAAGAGTTCCTTTTTGTTGTTGTTGTTTTTTTGCTGTAGTACATAATGCGATTTGTACGTGTTTAACCTACATTCAAAAGGCCTTATGTTAGCACCAGGACTTTTATGTGTGTGGCAGCCATCCTGCCTGCGATTCAGCCTTAACCATATCCTTATGCTGTTCCAGAATATCTTTCTACTCTCAGGGTTTTTGTTGTTGCTGTTTTTTTATTTCTACAACAACGAGAAAAGATTAAGTTTTCTTTCATTTTATTCCCTTACTGGGTTATTTCCTCCGTTTAAGAGGGCCAAAGAAACGAAACAAAAAACGGGAATAAAATGTAAGGCAATGTTGCAAACTTGAAGCGGTTCCTTGGCTCAGGAAAAAAATGGGTTATCATAAAATCTTATTGCAGAGGTATGAAATAAAAAAAACACACAAAACTACTACCATATGGCCACTTAGTAAGGAAAATGGAGCCTTTAACAGTTTTTTTAAACCATGGCTAAGCAGAAGAATTTAGATTTTTTAATAAGCCATCCCCCCACCATCATTCAAGGAGTTAAGAAAGTAGGGCAACTTAATGTAACAAGATGTTCGAGCTTTTTGGGGATTATAAAAAATCATGTTTAAAGTGAAAGTTAAGTGATAAAATGGCTATCACTTTACACACACCACCACCACCATGAGCTGTTTAGAAAAATTTGTGTGTGTGTATGGATGAGCGTTTTTTCTCTTTAAATTGTCAATAAAGTCAAGTGGTCTTGGATAGGTTTTTAGGGGATTGGAATATTATTGGAGGGTCCTAATTTTTACATATGTGAAAATTAAATGTTAAACATTATTGGAGTTTGGGAATGATGGCCACTTAACTAATGAAAGTTTGTGCATTTTTTGTTTTGCTTTTGAAAATTTGGTATCAATTTGCCATCCAACATGTTTGATAAGATGAGATAAAAAGTATTTTTGTTTTGTTTGCCTATTGATTTGTTCTTCGTTTAATTTTCAAATTGAATTTTGATGTTTGGAATAAAAGGTATTGAAAATGGAAACAACAAAAACGAAACACTTGATGCTCTATTTTAATTTCTCCAATTTTCAATTTAAAATATAATTAGAACTAATTAAATTTTAATTTTAAAATTAACTTTTTATTAATTTTTTAAAT